TACCCATATTCGTTGGTGTTATAAGGTCCCTTTTGTCCGAGGGACAAAAATAGATGTATCCATTCCCAGAGTCAATTAATAGAGTAATATATAGATATGAATGCATTGGGCATAGCCTCATCATAATAATGCACATATTTATAAATAAAAAAGGTTGGATCGTTTTTTGGGCACGTGAAACTTTTAACCATGCATGTACTAAGAAGCAAGATTGGTTTAAAGAAAATAATTAAAATTGCCAAGTCAATTAATCATGTAAGCGTACGTCATTCATTAGCAGCCAAGCATGAACAGTTCTTGGTGATTAGGAAATACTGCATTCGGTCCTAATTATAAGACCTTATTTATAGTTTATAAACAAGATTCTATTGACTGGAGGTGGTAATTAACATAATCCAAAAGAGTTACCTATAGACAATAATACCTGGCATAGAAATTCTGCAGTCAATGGTTCGTGTCTGAAAAAAGTGGGGGCTTCCTTGCCAGCTTATGAGCCGGCTAGGAAGTGACATGAGAAAATAACAATGACTAAGAATAACGATGGATATGGAAATTAAAGTTTGGACATGACTTGTCTGTGTTCGTTTGCGTGTTTAGCTGAATGCAATGAATTATGACATAAATCTTGTCAAACGAATGTATAGAATTTCCATAACCATAACAACTACAAAGAAAAAAAAAGATTTTTGGAGATGAAAACAGAAAACGCCCTCAGAAGGCCAAAAGATTTTTTTTTTTTTTAAGTAGGGTGTTGGTTGTTATTATATATTATATATTCATGCACACGAGTGTTATTAATGTGGAGTACTACCTCCAGTTTTAATTATAAAATCTCAGTTGTGGCAAACAAAATCTTATAATTAGAATCAGAAGTAGTATTTTATTTCAAGCTAGTCAACTTTGTAGTCTATAAACGAGATCTTATAATTTGGACCACATATAGTATTTTATTTCAAGCTGATCAACTCATTTCGTAGTTAAGGTAAAATGAATGGATTGAGGTCTCTTCTTTATATACATGGATTTTTTCAAAGAAACACTTATTTTATCATTTGTAATATTTATTAATAAGTAAGAAATATAAGCAAAAACCATAGCTAGCATTCCAATTTTCCGGCTCTAAAGTTTCTCTGTCCTCTATTTTCCAGAGGGGGGAAGACGAAGAAGAAGAGGCTATTGAATTGGCTGGTTGTGAATTTGAAAAGTCAGTAAACACACACACACACACACACAAAACACACCAAAAAAAAAAAATTCAATTCTACGTGCGTATTTGAAACGGAGATCATGCATTGAAAAGTCAGTAAAAAAACACACCAATTAAGTAGATTTCACATTAAAAAAAGGTAGTATATAAGGTACTCCTCTGGTTCTAAACGTAATACCTATTTCATAATGTAATTTATCTTATAAAATAAATATTATATTTAGGACCGGAAGAGTGGTATATAAGCGAGTCTTGTGAAGGCGTAACTAATACAAGCACATATATGAAGACCGAAGAGTCTGCCAATAGGTCATGTGGGAAGGCCAAAATTTCCAGTGACGGTGTTCGATTGACTGGAATCTCGCATATTGTGAAACTTTGAATCTACGAATCCATCAATTGTCTGATAATGACCACAATACATTCTCCATTCCCCTCTAATTTTTCTTTCACATGTTCGATCTTTTACTTGACTTTAAATATACTACCTCCAAATATAAATTTATTTAACTAGTTTGGATAGACAAGAAAAGATAGTTAGATTAGTTATTTGTTAAAATTATATGTTAATTTTCCTAAAATATCCTGTTAAATTATTTGGATTGAAACAAATAGGTTAGTTTGAATAAATTATATATAAAACAAAATAGATTATGACCTTGTATTTAGAGCTAAATTTAAACTATCTAACTAGTAACTTTTATATTAAATACTGAAAGTAGTATATCAAAGCAAGTCTATGCCTTAAGCCCCGAGTGCCTAGATTAACTAGTTGGAGTTGTTCTAGCTTAACCACAGGTCTCAAGTTCAAGGCGTGGGAATGCAACAGTATAAGGGGCTAGGGTCTCCTTCATATAGGGTCGATAGAACCTGAATTCGGATTAGTTTGGGCCTGTTGATGTCTCTGTAAATAGGGACTGGCCTAGGATACCAGATGTGAAGGCCAAAAAAAAAAAAGAAGCAAGTTTGTGCTTTGCATACATGCTTATTTTTAGTACTCTTGTTTGTCCCCCCCAAAAAAAAAACCCACACACACGAATCAGATTTGGTTGTTCTTCACTTTCTACATTTATTTGTGTGGATGCGGAGTTTACCTTATATTTGCTTCACATAATTTCATTTCTAGTTCCTCAAAACATGATTTATATATGCAGAACTTTCCGAGCACACTAATTAATTAGTCAGTCACGAATAATAATCAATTATCATGTCTCATAGACTTTCCACACATTTGGTGATTCATAGACTTTCCGAGCACACAAAGAAGAGTTTTATTAGAGTTATCCGATGCTATTGCGTTTGATTGAAAATATCGCTATTCCAAAAATATTAAAATTTCTATTTATTAATCGAAACCCGAAGAAGAAGCTATGATGCCATATCCCAATTCTCCGGCCAATACACACACATATTAGAAACCGGTTTCAATGCTCATCACAGTGATGAGTATCGTGATGTTTATCAAATCTCAATCATTCAAATTTAATATAGATGGTCAAGATTTAATATTTAATATATTTATTTTTCAAAAAAAATATTTTTCTTTTAATATGTACATAATCCAAAATAAATGTAATCTCTTAACTGTAAGTTTGTTAAAAAATAAATTTTTTATTTAAAAATTACTAGTTGAAAAGTTTAAATCTAGACTATTAAAACTGATGCTGAATGGTTTGGATTTTATCATAACGATGAGTATTACGGGGCTTATCACTACGATGAGTACTAAAATTGGTTCTCACATATTGGGCCTGTTTCATAGGCTCAGAATAGCATCATTGCCTTGGGCCTGTTTCATAGGCTCAGAATAGCATCATTGCCTTGGGCCTGTTTCCTTAGCCAACACAACGTCACCTCCCTGGGGGGAGCAATTGTTGGAGGTGGATCTTCCCACAACAGTTATAAGCCCAGCTCAGCATTCTGGGCCTTAATGGGCTTATCGTGATGTGATGGAGGCTTGGTTTACGAAAAAACAAAAAGATGTTTAGCAATCCTTAAAATACTTATAAAAAGCATTTTTTCACATAACAAAACAAACTCCTCTATATATTTATTTTGTAAACTGTAAAAACACTTTTTAATCGGGAGTGTTTGAGTAAGATCAAAATTATGGTTTCAGAAATATTTTTACAGTATACGAAATAAATATGTGAAAGAGTTTATCACGATTTACGAAAAAATGTTGGTTTCTACCTAAATGCCTCCGAAATTTGCATAGCTTGCTCTAAATGAAAATAAGAGCACTCGTGGACGCCTCATAGCGAGAGCTTCCGAATGGGTTGAAGCGCGTGGGTGCTCCCGGGGTGACCAGAATTTTTTACCAGATGTTACGCATTAGGGATAGGGGCGGTCCAACGGTTCAACCTCTTTATCAGAAAATAACAAAGCGACGCTCTTCTTCCTTCTCTCTCACTCCTCCCCTCTTTTTCCTTTCCTCCTTTTCTAGTCCTCTCATTGTTCTCCCAACCTAACAATATATTTTCCATCTCAATAATTTATCTCTATTATTTAGAATTTTAATCTACTATCATTCTCTCCTCGGTGGTTGGTTGCTCAACTCGCTCGCTGGTTCCTGTAACTATGGCATTCCGAGTAGGAGGGGTATGCTTCCTTTGCTTCCTAGCTCTTCTGATCCTTGTTTTTCTAATTTTTGTTGAAGATCTTGAAATGCGCTTCAATCGTTTTAATTTTCCTTGAGTTATAGTGCTTCTGGCCTGATTTGCTCTTGTATGGATATGTTTTTCTTTCTTACTCTCATTCAGAGGGGTTCGCTGACTGATTTTCATTTACTTGCTACTGCAGATTTTCTGTCTCAAGTTTTGTTTGTTTTAGCTCAGTCCTTCTGTTATGATTCCTGTGCTGGAGTGAAAATTTTCCCTTTTTGTGTGGTGCCTGCTTAATTAAATATGTCGCTTGCTACGCTAGATGACTTGACTGCCAATCGATTTTCTTTTTTAATCATGGACTTCCAATCGATGTTGATCTTAGTAGAAAACTTTAAATGTATCTCATAAACTGGATTTATTGAAGGTTCTCGTACGCGGTGATAGTACGCTACGACTTACAAGCTATCTGTGTACATTATTATTGATATCGGGCTTTCGGGACAGTGGATATTCTGGTTTTCACTATCTGCATCCTTTTTCCCTGCAACTTAATTTCATTTTTCCTAGTGCAATTCTAATGTAACCTGCTCTAATTTGATGGTTTTTATTCACACACGGCAGCTGGGACCTGCTTATGGTTTGGTGTTTTCCTTATTATTATTGAAACATTTTGATTGGTTCACATCTAAGTGGTTCAGGACACAGAAGTTTTAAGAAATCATTTAAATATATCAGATTGAAATGTATCCTATCGCTTGCAAGATTGGTGCGTGCTTCATTCGTACCTAATACACTACAACGATTTTTTCTCTTTTGAGTTGCAATGAAGTTTGGTGATGCTGATCTTCGTGCTATATGACTAGGAATTGACAGACAGAACCTTTGGTTCTATTTTCTAAGACATTTTTTCCCTTCGCGTTCAGTTCTAATAATCATTTTTTGGCCCTGATCAAAGAATTTAATATGCGACTTCATTTTAGGGAAATGCCTCTTCTGGCATGGGTGTTGCTGAGCATAGTGTAAGCACATACCTGGAGCTGCAGAGGAAGAAAGTACATCGCTATATCATTTTTAAGATTGATGAGAAAAAGAAAGAAGTTGTGGTTGAGAAGACAGGAGGCCCTGCTGAGAGCTATGATGATTTCACTGCCTCCTTGCCTGAGAATGATTGCCGATATGCTGTCTATGACTTTGACTTTGTAACTTCTGAGAACTGTCAAAAGAGCAAAATATTTTTCATCGCATGGTTAGTCACACAGTTTCTCATAAAATCATAGAAGATGCATTTTAAATTCATCTGGAGAAAAATTTAACCTTGACTGGATATTTATTGGTTTAAATCAGTGCATTTATCTAGTTCCTGACTTGCTTTGAAGACTTGCAAAATAGACAACTTTTGTAAAGCAAGTCAAAGACAGCAACTATTTTGAACTGAAAGGTTAAACACCGAAATCACTTCAGTCACCTGAAAGATGGATTGATGGGTAATGGATGGAAGATGACAGTATCCAACTCCTCTATGAAGCTCCAATTCTGTCATGTCATTATTTGCTCACGATCTCATCAATACTATTCTAGTCTGATAAATGCAAATTCTTAGTCTACTTTTCGTGTCTGCCTTGTATGTGCTATTGGTGAAGGATGAACTGATGACAAGTTCTGACAAATCTGAATTACAAATTGTTTCATGAATTTGAGATCCTGACTTCTTCATCCTTGTATGTTTGTTTTACTGATTGAGTGTGTTTGGTTGGGATCTAAAGTTGACATAGGCAAAGATGTTCATACCCTCTGTTAATCGGGCTATTGAGGTTATGTATTTGATTTATATCTACACGCACAATAATATTCATGCTATTTTGATTATCTTTTATATTCCTTTGGTACAGGGTTATAAAAGATTTCTGCGCATTTATGTTGCTATGCTATGAATGCTCTCTTTCTAGATTGCATTTTGTTTAGTTTAGACCTTCGTCATTCCCAAATTCTTCCACGTAAAGAACAGTGCATCAGTGTGACTTGCTGAACCCCTTTTTTTTTTTGGAGATACTGAAATTACAAAGCTTTGCACAAGTCAAAGAACCTGTAGTGTCGCTATTGTATTGCTATTATGGTTCTATTTGTTAAAGATTTGGAAACAATTTATATGGCATGGAAGTTCTATTATGGTTCTATAAATAATGTCCACTGTATTGGTTGAGTGCAATCTGCAGCAATACATGGCATGGCAGTAAAGGTCTTATAATTACGATCCACAAGTCTTCTTAACACGTTTTAATGGTTTAAAATGGCGTGTTGTGGAACTCTAAAAAGCTGATGTTTCACATCCATATTCGATAAAGATGCTCGATTTTAACTTGATCACCCTTTCTGACTGGGTGCCCAATGTTTGACTGAAAAGTATATTGGAATCAGTGATCTTGCTTTATTGACCAACCATTATATCCCTTTCTTGTGCTTGAGACCCTTTGTTTGTTTAGTATGGTCTTTTCTCGTCTTCTCACTACCTGAATTCTGAATATTTTTTTCCATTTTATGCCACCTTGCTTTTGATTGGATGCTAATCCTTGCCTGCAATTTGTACTGGAAACAAGTTTACCAGTTGGTGTTACCTCTTTTGTGCTTGAGAAGCTGAGATTCCTTGTCTTATCAGTTCGTTGTTTTCTGTTCCCACGACCTGAAACCTGATTCACATTAGAGTTTTTTCACCCTTTCCCTGCGCATGAATTGCTGTGTCGTTTCTTCATTTAAGATCCCAAACCATCTTATCAATCACATCTTCGTTTTGCATTTGATTGGGGTTCTTTGGTATTGTGATTATTTTTGGGCTTTCTTCGCTAGTTGCTTCTGTTGTAGTAAAGCAAATTTTAGTTCTTGCTCTTATTACTGTTGTTTAGGAAGAAGGACAATAAATGTTGGAATCTTCATTCTTGGCTGAAAATCTAGGATGTCGCGCTTCGCAGTGGTTTTTTGGTTGGTTTTTACTGTTCATTTCATTTCATGCTTGGGGAAGGTGGGTGGGGAGTGAGATATTCCTTGCAGGTGGCAATTTAATCTCACGATGGAATATTTTGGGTGCGAGCTTTCATGTATGTTAGGCGACGTAATTTTATCTTTACATCAGAGCAGGTTGAAGCTGTATATAATTTGGCGCATATATGACCAGTTTATTGCCTTAGATATGGGTTTTTTAATTCAATTGTTACAGGTCTCCTTCTGTATCCCGGATTCGTGCAAAAATGCTGTACGCAACATCCAAGGACAGGTTCAGACGGGAATTGGAGGGCATACATTATGAGATTCAGGCAACAGACCCTACAGAGATGGATCTTGAAGTCCTCAGGGACCGTGCAAACTGAGAATAAGCTGGGCTCAAGGGCTCACGTTTAAAGGGTGTCCTTAGGATATCTCTGAAACAACCTGAAGGATTGCTCTTTATTTGACTTGTTCCTTGAACTTCTAGTTTACTGTGTTGTCTGTCTGTTTCGATGCATCGCATATGAATAGCTTACTTAGGAAGTAAATAACCCACACCTGTGAAGGCTGATTAGGGGCTCCTGGGCCTACAGACCCCATAGCTGGGGGAATTGGAGCTCTTCCTTACTGTGATGCTTCTCGGGTGCATATTACTACTTTGAATATTGAAAATTGGACTTGTATTCTATGGAATCAATGTTTATGTTGATGGGGACAGCTAACTATCAGCTTGGGCGGAAGCTTGATGCTGCGTTTTTTGGGGGTGTAGAGTTTGATGATAATATAATGGAATGTTAGACAGCGGAAGTGTGGGGTGACGACTGACGAGTGTGTAAATGGTTATGAATTGTGTTCTTTATGGCCAACTATAAAGTTTGTGTTCGGATCAAAAGAAAATTAAAGGATTTTTTTTTTTGGAGGGGGGGGGGGATGTTTCTGGGGGATGATAACAGTAATGTTACTAGACATTGTCGCCAAGAAATATTAGTACATTTGGGCCGCTCGTTCTTTGGTTACAGTTCAGGCCGAAAAAGTTCTCTGGTTACAGCTTCTCAAATGGTCTTTCAATATTGCGCCCGCACATGCACATTTTTTGAAATTGATTTATTATTCTTAGCAAAGTGCTTAAAAATGCTTCCTCATTTATTTATAACGAAAATAAACTGCGAGTAACGTCTTGACATCTTATGAAGATCAAAACGAAACATGAGAAGTGAAAACTACGAAATTTTAAATTATTTTCTTTTTTCTGAATTTTATTGATAGAGTGTAATTTATCTTCTCATTGTTTCTAAATATATGAAGATTATGCCCGGACGTGCACATTTTTTGAAATTGATTTATTATTCTTAGCAAAGTGCTTAAAAATGCTTCCTCATTTATTTATAATGAAAATAAACTGCGAGTAACGTCTTGATATCTGATGAAGATCAAATTGAAACATGATAAGTGAAAACTACGAAATTTTAAATAAGTTATCTTCTCATTGTTTCTAAATATATGAAGATTTCTTATCAATGTTATATCTTAGTTTGATTTTTAAATCTTTTATTAAAATAATATTTATTCGCTTCCATATATTAAAAACATAACCAGAACGTTTAAAACGGTACAGGGACCAAAAAAATGAAAAAGTGAGGAGTAACTAATTGTTTTCAGGCAAAATTTATGTATATCAAGTTATCAATACGAATATATCAATATATCAATGCATATGCAATGATTTCAAAAAACTTGCTAATGTATATTTCACTATCTGTTAATATGAGGTGACTCACTTTAAACTCCAAGCAGCTTACGAGTCCCGTATTTGATTTTTAAAAAATAAGGAAAATTTTAATATGATAAATTTTAAAAATTGAAGGTAAAAAAAGATGACAGCGATTATTTGACAACTAATTCGAACATAAAACGGTAAGTATGCATATAAAGTATACACCACCCAAATTCCAAAAGCACAAAAACAAAACACAGAGAGAACATGAGGAGCAAAAACAGCAGCCTATCCCTTTCTTAATTGCATTGAAAGAATCTGTGTTTGATACTTACCCAAAACAGGATGTGGGACAACAAAACCCATCTTCAAAGGGCATATCTCCTTTTGCAACATACTCTCCCCTTCCAGTTGTATCTTATGACCTCTCACTGTTACTCAGCAAAAAGAATCTGAGACAAGAACGACTTTATAAAATAGCAACCCTAAAGGTGCCCTTTTCTTTGTCCCAGAAAAGAAAGCACCATTTTTGAACAAAGTCCGTCAATATGGTCTTATAATCCACTGCACTCAAGAGGCAGAGCTCACAAAAATCGAGTTTTAAAAGCCCACCTTCAAGAAAATGCCCCTAACAAATTTTTGATAATAAAAAATTTAGATTTTGTTTCAATTTTGCCCTTATGAAAGTGGCAAAATGAGGCTACAGAATATTGATCAGCACAAAATTAAACTTGCACATTATGGAGCGATCTCAACTTTGCAGGACGAAGGTGCAATTTTAGCTCTAAACTTGAAAAGAAACATTGCAATGGAATCGGCACCAAGATAAGCAGTCCGCGTGTGATGTTCATCTATTGATGTACTCGAATGTAAATTCCACTGATATCAGATTGATAATTGAGTTCTACGCAGCTAAGAAAGAAGGGTCGTAGTCTCATTCATTTTCCTGATATAATTAATTATAGAAGACTTCTAGGTAATTATTAACCATAGATTAACCATAGATGGACTAGGTACTAGTCCCGATTCTTTTGCTTCCGGACTCCTCCACTCAATCGTTCGTCCGAGTCACATCGCGGTAGATCCAAATCCCGCCATTCAAGACTCATTTTCATTCGCACGATAGTCGTGGATACTGTGGTAAAAACTTTGTTTTTATGTGAGGGGGAAGTGATGAGTCTGCTTCTTGCCCAAGATCCGTTCTTATCTTTTCCCTCTCCGTTCGCCTTTTGTTCACGATAGAAAAATTTTATGTACCTGTCACCCACTATCACCTCCCACGTGATCTCACTAATTACATCCTTACAACTCTCGCAAAAAGACATTTCATGACTCGGGCTCATCTGACTTTGATGCCAACGCACAGTATGGGTTAACTTAGCCTATAATCTTAGATAATTCCATGTGATTTGGTGCTTCCTAGTATCATCTTCGCCTATACTTTCATGCCCCGGTGTATAATTGGCTCTATGGGTTTTTGATTTATTGTCCCCTTTCTGTAGCAGGAGCTAGAAGCGGGTTTGGGGGCTGAGTTTAGAACTCCTCAGTCGCCGTCTTCTTTTATCATCAAGGTTCTGTTTACGTACTGTTTGACATAATTTCCAGCACAAGTTGCTGATAGATAATGTTCTTTTTTTTGTAAAATCTTTTAATAATTGTGGTACGAAGCAGAATTTTATTCTTTAGGTTACTGTGTTTGTTGGATCTCAGAGAAATCTTTTCTGGAATCTAATAATTGGAGATTTTCCATTCATTTATCCACCCCCTCCCCCCAATTTGTGGGATTTCAATTGCTGAGACTGAGACATGCTGGGAAGGGGTCCCTCAGTTGGATTTAGATTGGATGCCTTATGGAAGACAAATTGACACTGAAGTTTAATGTCCAGATAAGATCCCCGTTGGTCTCATATCTGCGTGTTGAGTCTATTTGGAAGTGATTTGATTTTCCGTGCTGCAAAATATCAGATTCAAGGGTCGGCAGCCTGTGGCAGAGCTATCAATTTTAATATGCTTTGATCTTGTGGCGATATCAAAATGGATCTCTGAGTGGAAGTTGTGCTTGTTGCTGGGTGACAGAGAACCTGTGGACAAGCTGCCCCGAGAATTATGTTATTTAAAGCTTTGGTTTGCCATGAAAATCTTGATTAGCCAATATGGGATGTAACAGGACTATAGTATGGTTTAGGAGGGACCTCAGGATTGAGGATAATCCTGCATTAGCTGCCGCTGCCAGGGAGGGTTCTGTCCTTCCTGTCTATATATGGTGTCCTACCGAGGAGGGACAGTTTTATCCAGGCCGAGTGTCAAGATGGTGGCTGAAACATTCACTTGCCCATTTAAGTCAGTCGCTGAAATCACTAGGAGCCGAACTTGTGCTGATCAAAACTCACAGTACTCTTGCAGCTCTTTTGGAGTGTATAAATGCTATTCAAGCGACAAAAGTAGTGTTTAATCATCTCTACGGTAAGTACTGGTGTTTAGAAGGTAGTTTCAACTTTCTACTGCTTTAGCGTGGTTTGAATTGCTTCCTGATCCATACCCGAAACCATTAAAATTTTGGATCTCCCAAAGTTAGAGGTTGAAGGAAAAGAAGGAGCATTTCATTTTAACAGTTTAGAGATTGAGGATAGGGATTCTAGGTAGGATAGTACTTGAGGGCAATCCTAGATTGGCAATTCTGAATGTCCTCGTGATATTTTCTGTTGTCATTACCTTTTGGCTTATAACAATTCCTTGAATATGTGATCAGTAGAAGTAAATGAACATCACATCCATAACTGGGAAAGGAAAAGTTGGATGAAACATTGTGGTATAAAGTAAGACAATCCCCCCCCCCCCAAAAAAAAAGCCTCTTCCCACCGCTTTTGTTTTTTTCTCTTTATTCTCCAATGGAGGACAAATTTATTTAGTTATTAAAATTCTGTTGAAATATCGTTCCGTTTCCTAAGGCATATTAATCAAGACTTGAAAACTTTGCTTTGTATACAACTAAGTTACTAGTGACGTTTGATTAGGAATGACAAAAGACTCGGAGATGTATTGTGATGAGATGTTAACGAAGCACTAAGTTTATGAGTTTCCAAAACTAGAAACAGTACATCTCCAAACGTTGAATTTCAAAAATCCTTGGTGAGTGTTTGCTTGAAGTGGAAAATGATCTGTGACGGACTGGAGTTTCCTAAAGCAGAACTTGATTTGCTGCACATTCACATGGTTAGTGGTCACTGCTACACCACAGCTTGAATAATTAGTGTCACATCTGGCTATATATTTAGGTCAAAATTGCTTATTTGCAAAATGAATAATGCTTATTTGGTCAATGTGAGCTTGGAGGATAATGCTTCGATTCCCTAAATAGTTCCTTACTGTGCATTATGTATACGATGAATTGGTTTGTTCATTGAAACACCATGCTTGTAAGGCGTACGTGTTGCAAGTGTTGCTGTCATGCTGAGTAAATTAGTGAGTGTTAGTCCAAACAAGTCGAGGAGGAAATATTCATTCATCCTTTAAATGCATGGCATTTCCTTGCAGGACATCATATAGTAGACAAACAACTTTTTCTTTTTTTCTAAAAGAACCACTTTATCTAACAAAATATCATCTGAAGCAACTTACAGTAGTGCTTTGTTACGACCTAAATAGTGTCATAACCTATTTGTCCACCAGAATGTGCGAGGTATCTGATATCTATTCCTTGCCTTAATTATTTTATCAGATCCTGTTTCACTTGTCCGAGATCACAACATCAAAGGAACACTAGTCGAAATTGGTCTATCTGTGCAAAGCTACAATGGGGATTTGTTGTATGAACCGTGGGAGATATATGATGAGATGGGTCACGCTTTTACAACCTTTGAGCCTTTTTGGAACAGATGCTTGCAAAAGCAAGTGGCAGCTGCTTCACTTATTCCTCCTTGGCAACTAATTCCAGCTAAAGGTATAACTATAAATGCAAGTTAGTATGAATTGATTCTTCTTCGTATAATACGGCTGGCTGGCCAGGTTACTGTCAAATATATAAGTTTTAACTAATGTGGGTAAGAAAGCCTTACGATAAGCAGTATCTTCTTTTGGTATAAAAGTTAGTATTGTGGTCTTACTTTTTAGGCGGTAATATTATGAGATTTGGCACTGATGTGATCATACTTTTCTCTTCATATATCATTTTGCTGTCAGATTGAGATATCAATTTGAGAGAAAAACATCTAGTGTAGCAGAAAATATGTCTGGTGAAATTTTGTTTTCTCTTCCTTTGTTGATGGCAGGTGCAGTTAAGAAATGTTCAATTGAGGAACTAGAACTTGAAGACGAATTAGAAAAGTCCAGCAATGCGTTATTAGGGAGAGCATGGTCCCCAGGTTGGAGCAATGCTGATAAGGCTTTAACTGAATTTATTGAACACCACCTACTTCACTACTTAAAGAATAGACTAAAGGTTGGTGGAGACTCCACTTCACTCCTGTCTCCATATCTTCATTTTGGAGAATTGAGTGCAAGGAAAGTATTTCAATTGGCACGCATGAAACAGATATTATGGGCAAATGAAGGAAACATCACAGGTGAACAGAGTGTCACACTTTTCCTCAGGGCCCTTGGACTTAGAGAGTACTCACGTTATCTTTGCTTCAATTTCCCGTTCACTCATGAGAGACCATTGCTTGGGAACTTAAGATTTTTTCCTTGGAATTCTGATCTGGCCAATTTTAAGGCTTGGAGGCAGGGCAGGACTGGCTACCCTTTAGTTGATGCAGGGATGAGAGAACTCTGGGCAACAGGATGGATACACAATAGAATACGGGTGATAGTTTCTAGTTTTGCCGTGAAATTCTTGCTTCTTCCCTGGAGATGGGGAATGAAATATTTCTGGGACACGCTTTTGGATGCAGACCTTGAATGTGACATCTTGGGCTGGCAGTATATCTCCGGGAGTTTACCAGATGGTCATGAGCTCGAGCGCATGGACAATCCAGAGGTGTGTTACGGTTTCTTGTATTAAAATATTATGCAGATGGCCTCATGACATTCAAGAGAAGATTATCCAATGTTCATAATTGCTTCTCATTTTTAAGCTTAGGTAGTTGGCAAAATGTGAATAGCTTCATCAAATCATATGCTTTGGCATTTTTTTTGGCCATGTTTTCTTACTTTCGCTACGTGTTTGATTATTGACGAGTTTAACACAAGCTGAAGGGTCTGCATATCAGCTTCAAAGCACTAATAAATGTAGCCGTTAAACCATATTTGCGCATTAGCTCTTATTCATGTAGTAGAGGGGATATCATTATGGATTTTGAGAAATTGTAGTGGTTGTAATGTATGGGGAATAAAACGTTGCTAAGATTCTGTCCCTCTAGATTCTTAAGACTACTATTGGCTTTTTATGCTTAAAAGATTGTAAATTTTGTTTGGCCCCTTGCTGGCTACATATCTAAGGAGTAAATTCTGGTCTTTCAGGGCCAAAAAGCTTCCAAAATATTGAAGTAAACACTCTTACTATTTCCCTTTTGGCTCTTTTTTTGGGAACAGATTCAGGGGGTTAAATTTGATCCGGAGGGCGAATATGTAAGGCACTGGCTGCCTGAGTTAGCAAGAATGCCAACTGAATGGATCCATCATCCTTGGGATGCACCACTTACTGTGCTCAGAGCAGCAGGTGTAGAGTTGGGTCTAAATTATCCAAAACCAATAATTGAGGTCGATTTGGCCAGGCAACGGCTGACAGAAGCAATATTCAAGATGTGGGAAACTGAGGCAGGGAGCTCAGATGAGACGAATGAAGTAGTTGTTGATAACACCAATGTTGTTCAAAATTCGGCCATTCCAAAAGTTGTCTTGAAGAAGACTCCATGCGCTTCTATTTCATCAAATGATCAGAAAGTGCCAACACTTCAGAATCCCAAGAATGTTGTTTCTCTTGATAAGAAAAGATCAAAAGGTATGGAAGAAGGGGTACAAAACCAGAGTAGTTTACAGAACCATAAAAATGACGCAGAGGTATCCAGCAATGATCAAGGTATGTGCTCTACGAGTGAATCTTCTTCTAGTAAGAAGCAGAAGAGTGCAACTTGTGCTAGTACATGTACATTTTCTGTTCCCCAACAGTGTTCATCATCTTCTGAACTGAAGCGGCCATGGCAAGAACAGATTGACATGGAGCAGAGTTCAAGTAAAGACGGTATGCTGCCTCACAACTCATATTCTGAAAAAAAAGTAGGGACTTAGATGAAAGATAGTCTTTTCACCTTGTTAGAAATCTCAGAAAGCATCTCTAGGACACTTATCGTTTGCTTGGTCCAATTAATCATCCTCTCTAGGAAGTTAACTTCATGAGAAATACCTAGAAAATAGTTCTTGGAAAGTTAATCTCTGAGAGAGTTTGTATATATGATTTGCTTGTTAGACCTATTTAGTTTTAAGTCTCTTAAAAATGTTTAGTCCCTGAAAATACAAAACTGGTTGCATGTTAATTTCTGGTCAAATTGTCTGAGGGTGTTGGGAAGACTGATTTTTCAGTTCCCAGCAGTTTAGGATCAAAGTGTTATTGTTAGTTTAGTTTTCCTTTCTCCACGCTGCCATTCTTTGTGGAACCATCGGATTTAAATTATTAATCTATTACTGTTGAAAAAATTGATTTTTATTTGCGGTTGCAGAATGGAGTTTCTTTTGGCTTTTGGTGTAAGATCCTAATAATGCGTAATTACAATGCAGGAACCATCGGAAGTTAATGCTTTTCACAGAATTTCACTGGAGAGGCTGCATCGCGTACTGGGAGAGTAACATATTTTGCTGTATTCAAGTGCTGCCTTATAGTCTGTTCTGTTGTATAAGACCGAGTTAGCTTATTTTCCTTGTGTATATTCTGAGGTTGACGTAAACTGTAAACATACATAATACATATATATATATATATATATTTATAGGTTTGAGGTTAGATTTTGGGATCAAAAAGCGCGAGACGTATGAAATCTATAACTTCAAGATAGAAATGTATTAAGTACAGGTATGCTAATGCCACCGTTGTATTAGAAGTTAATCAGACTTTTACGAGCTTTCTTGAGCGTGGGACAAAACAAAACAATAAAGATCCTTGTATCCTGCTGCCGAGCAGGTCACTATTTGGACAATCTCTAGTAGTGCGCTTGGTTTTTACGTTGGAAATTTTGGTTTTAGTGGTTTAAAACCGAGCATATGCTAGGTGTTAAATATTAGTTTTAATCTTAATTATAAGATCTTATTTATAGATTTTGGGTTCTAATTATAAGATTTTGTTTGTAATTTATAAATAAAATTTTATAATCAGAAGTGGAGGTAGTATAATATTCTGAATCAAAATATGAGTGGATCAGTTGATGAATAATTTGGCTCATATGTTGCAGTATATTTAAACCCCCTTTTTTAATTTTTTTACATTTTGATTCTTTTCAAAACAATCAGACGAGAAGTCGACAACCACCTCAATCAGAGTCAAGGCGACAATACGTCATTTGACAGTGAGACGAAACAGAAGGTTTCCTCAAAAAAGTGTTGTTATTTGTCAAGAATAATACGATGATAGCAGCTTCATAAAATAATGTTTTACACCAAATAAATCCTGAAAAGTTATTTATATCATATAATTAAATTATAAAAACTCCTATAGCCGATTCATTGATTAAGCCTCAGCAGCAATGAGAAAGAAGGCGTAACAAATATCACACACGGATTTGTTTTCTCTGAGAAACAGACATTTTTTACACTCAGCAATTGGCTGGTTTTATGAATGCTCATATAAAATATTCGTGCTAGGCAAATCGGACCCCTTTCAACACGTCATTCTTTCCCCATTGCTTACCTTATTTAAAATAGACTATTTTACCAATATTTTGTGAATATTGAATAGTATGCTCTATAATTTTTTCCTGAGACTTACAAAAAATTTTAAAAAATCACGTTTGTGAAATAAAATAATAAACAAAATAAATTTTCCTTGTTTTTAAAATGCATATACATTTTTCTATAGTAAAAGAGTAAATTACGCATATCTCGATTAAGCGTTGCTAAGATTACATTCTTTTATTTCTGAAGATATTTTGTTTATTTTCAAAAATAAAAAATATTTATGCCGTTTCAATAAAATTAAAATAACTTAATTCGCATTTAAAAATATGTTTGCATTTGAATAGTAAAAGAAAATTCTATATAATTTAAAATTTTTTAAGAAATCGTAAGCTCAAAGAACAATATATATTGTTTAATATAATTAAAAATGTTTATGTAGCTTCTTTTTTGGTATTTTATAGTTATTTCACCTAATCACATCTCAATCCTAAAGATAGATCATTTATGTAAAAAATAAAAAAATGAACTGATTCCAAATCTATAATAATAAATTAATCCTGGCTAATGACCTAATGCATATTGTAACATTATTGTCTTTATGATTTCTGCTCTTTGCTTCCCCCAAGAGTCATTCATGAGACTCTTCGAAAGAGTCATTCAACTGAAAACGAAACCATCTTATCCGTTCACCCTTTTCCTTTTCTATACTTATTGTATTCCAGTTCTTCACTAGTTTACAATGAAGTCGTATTTTGTATACTCTTTAAAAAATAAGCAAACTGAATTTTAATAATTAAAATTTATCAGGATTGAAACCAAGGAAGCGAAACAAATAGAAATATAAAAAAAATAAACGAATTGTTTTTTGCAGGCAAAAATCGCATATATAGAAAGAAATACGCGACGATTCTCCATATCTAATGATCTTGTCTAATCAAGGGACCGTTCATGACAAAAAGTGAAATCAGATAATATATGTTTTTCCAATACGGGATTATATAATACTCCCTTCGTTTCTTATTATAAGAGACATTTGATACTTATGGCATGTTTCTATATATAAGAGACACTTAAAAGTTATCTTTACTTTTTTGTGTTGATTTTCTATTTTACCCATATTTATTGTCTCCAACTCACACTCTCTCTCCCTCCTACTTCTCTTTCTTTTAATAATTTAATTGTTCTCTCATGCTCTCTCTCTTTATTAATAAGGGCATTTTTGGGGAAAAAATTATATTTTTTATACATTGATTGTTCTTAACTAATTTTAACTACTTTTTTTATCAACGTAATTCGGTTATTTGTCTCTTATAATAAGAAACGGAGGGAGTATCATGTTAGATTTGAAATCCTTATATTTGAATATTTATATTATTTTATAAAAACAAACAAACTCATATAAATGAGGCTAGCGAGAGTTCCTCGTTAATGAACTCGGATCACCGAGAAAGCCATCTGGTTATGGCGCGCTAGCTAAGCCTAAGAAGAAGAAACAAAGATGAGCAAAGACCTGCAGCGAGATTTTGTCCTATTAATGGAGCTGGAACGGGGACGATTCGGCACTGTCTATAAGTGCGCTTCCCGGAGCAACGCCGACGATTTGTTCGCCGTGAAATCCATCGACAAACTTGTGGTCGGGGCCGGCGACTTTCTGGACGCCCAATGCCTCTCCAACGAGGCCAAGATCGTCCAGCTCCTCCATCCTCACCCCAACATCGTCATCCTCCACAAGGTCTACGAGGACGACACCCACCTCCACATGCTCTTCGAACTCTGCGACGGCGCCGATCTCCACCGAATGCTCCGACGCTTTGCACAAGGCACTATTGTCATACCCGAATCAGAGGCCTGTCGGATAATGCGTCAGCTCATGCAAGCCGTGTCCCACTGCCACCGCGTCGGCGTGGCTCACCGCGATATCAAGCCCGAGAATATACTGTTCGCGGGCCAGCAGGGGCGGCTCAAGCTGGCCGACTTCGGGTCGGCTGAGTTTTTCAAGAAGGGGGAGCTGATGAGCGGGGTGGTTGGTACGCCGTACTACGTGGCGCCAGAGGTGGTGGCCTGCAGAGAGTACAGCGAGAAAGTGGACGTGTGGAGCAGCGGTGTGATACTGTACATGATGTTATCAGGGAATCCGCCGTTCGACGGCGAAACCGAGGTGGAGATTTTTGAGGCTGTTCTTAGAGGTAACTTGAGATTCCCTAGACAGTATTTTGAGTCGGTGTCGCGAGAGGCCAAGGATCTGCTCAGAAGAATGCTCTGCAAAGACAACTGCAGAAGGATATCGGCTGAGGAAGTTCTGAGTATGTTTTAATATGATTCGCTTGTTTTGTCTCCCTCATGTCATGATATTAAGATTCTTATATGGGATATTGTGATGATGATGATGATGGAAATAATATTAACTACTAGTTGGGATGCATGATTTTTGTAATTAATGAGGTGTTTTTGGGATGGTTTTAAACAGGGCATCCTTGGTTCACCATTGCAGAGAAACGTGAGTAAGATTACACCCAAAAAGCTGTGTATTCATTTTGGGAGTGGTTCATCTTCACTATATACACTTCGATTTGTACGTATACTGTAAATTAAGTCGATGTGGTGAAATAAAGCGAGACTCATTTTGCCCCAGTGTTATCTCTATAGCTCTCTTCGATCCCCTTTGTGAATATATATATATATATATATATATATTGTTTGTGCACAGCAGACTCATAATTGTGAATCGAGCTTCATGTTTTCTCACTTCAGGTTGATTAATCTTTTCTTAATTATCGAAAAAAGTTGCGCCTCCGAACAAGCAATTATCATATACATTTTGAAAAGAGAATGATCGATCACGACCTTTTTTTCTTTTTTGGGAAGAAAAACGAAAAGGCAGAGCAGATTGGTGGTTGTGGCAGTTGAGAGAGATAAACATAAAAGCAGGTATAGTCAATTCCGTACCTCTCCGTAAATACGATGAATGATGTCCCTCTTTTCTGGAATGCGTCATCACTAACTATATGCTGGCATGATAATAAATACTACGTCGTTGACAAAGCCAAGAAAAAGACCAAAGCCTGTCAGGTGGGCTTGTTTAAGTTGAGGATGGGACTTATAATTTGAGGTTTCTAAAAAGAATTTAGATTTAAAAAAACTAGTTCTATAAAGCTCGAAAATAAAAAAGTCAACCCTGTAGAGTCGCGGGGTGGCCTGTTTAAGCCTGCAAATAATAATTCTTCCTCTCTAAATTTCACTTTCAATCTTTCACTCACTCTTAACTTGTGACAACCGTTCCTTTAAAACCCATTTAGATCAAAATTTTCAATCTATTCGAACGATTAACCATGATAGAAGAGAAGAGACCTTAAAATTTTAAAATCGCTATCATGGTTAAAAGAAATAAACTTATATTACGAGCCACATCAATCATTCACTTGGGCCTTGGACTTTCAAAGTCCAGAAATATCATTCAACCGTTAGCCCAAACCAAACTTACACTTTCAAATACAGGAACTGATAAAACATTTTAATAGAACTCATAGAGCCCATTAGTCAAAAGTCAACACTATCAACTGAGTGTAATATGCAAAGTCTTAAATATCTCTGGTCTTCCAATGACCTCCCATATCAGATAGTAGTAGTTAAAAGTATTAGTTTACAGCATTAAAGTATATGGGCCCTATGTGGCAATATATAACAAGTCAGCACATATAACAAAAGCATGGAGGCTATACAAGCTATAACAGCACACTATGCCTCCGGAGCCTTCCCTGATGGGCCACCACCTGAACTATCGCCTGAAAATGTTAAACCACGGGGTGAGACAAACGCCTCAGTAACCAACTTTCCAACCCATCATACATACTAACATGTGCTCGTGAGGTGTCAAGTGGGATAATTATTAAACCTCAATATCTATATACCAATGAAAATACAAATATGTATACTCAAATAATCTCAATCATCCAAACCCTCATTACGGGGGCTAACACACAAGCCACATAAGTCTATCCCTCACTATAAGGGATCAAACCGACCTATAGGCCTATCCCACACCTTGGAGGACGATTAAGTATTCACAAAGATTCATCCCTTATTATAGGCCTATCCCACACTTTGGGGGACGAATAAAAAGCTACAAGGGTCTATCCCTTACTCTAGGGACGAAGGAAGAAGCCAACCAATGTGCACCAATGGCGGCCTTACCACGTGGTAGGATAGCGCTCAATCCAAAATCCAAAT